CAGGCCCAGCTCCAGCCCGTCCTCTGGCCCCTCCCCGCTGCCCGCCAGAGTCACACATGTGTTTTCCTGTTTTCCATTTCGGTCCCCGGCACGATCTGCCTTTTCTGCTCCTCAGAGTCAACAGCTGCTGCGGCTCGAGCCATAACCCTCTGCCCTTGTTCTCCTTCCCAGCACCTTCTCCTCTCCCAAGTGTGCTGGTAGCCCCTCCTCTCTGCACCTGCCCAAAGGTCACTGGACAGGTAAGAGGTGGGAGAGGAGGGACAATGGGTGAGAGGGAAAGCGCAGGAGAAGGATGGAGTGAAGAGTCTTGAAAACTGGCTGAACAGAGACCCAAGAGCCTCTTTCTTGTTTCTTGATCACAGTCCCTACTCACCCTGGGCAGAGCCCCTCTGCCCGGAGACTTCAACCCTATCCTAATGGAAGCTCCGGCCACAGGAATTTCTTTCCTGTTTTACTTTTTTAAAAAGCCACGGTGTAATATAGAAAAACAAAGTGGAGAACTGAGAAGGGAGGAGCTGAATGTCTAGCTTCGGGTGATGGGAGAATCTATCTGGTCCACAGTATTTTCTATTTCTGCTGTTAGGAGAGACAGCCCAGATTTGTTGGACCCAGACTAGACATAGGGTCCCTGGAGGAGAAGTGTGTTCTCACAGTAGCTCTCTTGGCAGGGTGAGAAGCCAAGCCCCTGACTGTGTGATGGTTCCTGGAGGAAGTGTGTTTTGGTGTGGCTGGCGCTGTGGGGTCAGAATGAAGGGCTCCACTGCTCTGGCAGACACCGGCTGCATACTGAGCGCTCTGTAGCCTGCCTTTCCTGAACCCCTAAATCAGAAATTTCTCCCACTGCTGTTGGATGAGTGTGCTGTCCTGCAATCTTTGCTAGGACTTCAGAGATGACTTTACCTCAGACAGGGGAAACAGACAAGGGATATTGTATCATGAGCATTGTTACATCCCAGGGGTTCAGATTATGCAAGGTTTTCCTGTAAAGTCTTGTGTGGGAGAACCCCTTCAGGGAAGTCTGGGGGTTCTGCTAATCCCAGGCTGATTGAATGGTGGAACCATTCCTTTAGGGAGGAATGTGTGCTAGGCAGTGGTTGAGAAAAGAGGGGGGCATCATCTCAGTGGATGACAATCTCCAGACCTGTTTTCGTGGGCAGGCAGACTGAAGAGCAGAGTGAAATTCCTCTAGTACCACTTCCTGGTAAGACCACTAGGGTATGCTGTTTGCTGAAGTGTGGCTTTTGCCAGCGCTTCCAATTGGTTCAGCCTGGTTCAACCCCCTGCTGAGTTTGCTGTTTTCACTCCAGATACACTGGATCAGAACCTACATTTAATAAGATTTTGATTTAGTATATCTGGAGTGGGAATGTAAGGTCCAAGCCCCAAGTGGATTTCACTAGTGGAGTTTCAGAAACTCTTAGGAATGAAACCCTGTGCACTTCTCTCCTCACATCCCCTTACGGGTTCCCCTTTCTTTGTTCCTCCTTTGTTCCTTTTTCTTTCCATCACGAAGTATACATGCCCATTCCTTGGTGCCAGTGAATTTGGTCTTAAAGGGGTGAAACGTGATGTGTATCCCTGTGTTTTTGTTTGCTTTACAAGTGGGCGCCCAGTAATAGCATAACCAAGAGGACTTGTAAAGAGGGTCTGCAAAGGGATGTGGAGGAGGAGGAGCAGGAAAGGAGACAACAAACTTTGTTAGAGCCTTCAGTCTGGACTACAGACCGAAGGGCGGCAGCAGAAGCTGGTGGTTTTCTTTGTAATCTAATCACACCATCCACAGGTAACTAATTAAAGAGCCACATGAATCCCATCCCCATCTAAAAGGAGCTGGGAAGGTAGAGGAGACACAGTGCAATACACTAAAGTGGTTAAGAACTTGGACTCTCCATTTCCAGACTACCTGCCTCCCTCTCTAGTTTGGATGGAACCCTAGCAAGTGACGTAGTACTTGCCTTCAGGGACTGTCCAAGGATTAACAGTTGAGTAGACTCTGATTTATGATGACCCCCACACATGCAGAGTAGAATTGCTCCACAAGGTTTTCAAGACTGAGACTTTTCTGAAGCAAATCTCCAGGCCTAGCTTCCTCGGCACTAGTGGTACTGGTGGTAATGTGCTGTGGAATTGGTTCTGACTCATAGTGACCTTGTACAGCGTTTCTGAGGTTGTAAATCTTTACGGGAGCAGAAAGCCTCATCTTTTCCCCGCAGAACTGCTGGTAGTTTCGAACTGCTGACCTTGAGGTTAGTAGCCTGACTTGTAACCACTATGCTACCTGCTACCTTAGGCGCTAGTAGCACTTCTTAAGTATTTCAAACTGCCAACCTTTGGGCTAAAAGTCCAGCTTTCACCCATTTGCACCACACAGGGATTAAATGGGATCATGTGTTTAAATGCTTAGCAGTATTGTCTGGCCTGGGTAAATGCTCAATAAATGGTAACTGTATAGGTGTGGCACTTTAGGATAAGCACTGGACTGCTAACCACAAGGTTGGTAGCTCATACCCACCAGCCGCTCCTTGGAAGTCCTATACAGGGTTGCTATGGGTTGGAACTGACTTGACATTTAACAATAGCACCAACATATTAGAAGAACATTTTTGTGGCTGAGGTAGAAGAAATGATGTCTTTTATGGATGGACTTCAGGCATTTGTGAAACTGTCTTGGGAGAAGCACTTTGGGAAGACAGGGTCCTCCTCTCATTAAAAAAAAAAGATAAAAGGAAAGTTCCGGGGGGCTAGAATGGGAAGATGTGGATTAGAGAGAAGACTCCCAGAGATTTTTAGATCTCTAGACCTGGTGTGGCGCTGTGGGTTAATGTGCTGGACTGCAAAGTCAGTTTGAACCTCAAGGTCAGCAGTTCAAGCTCACAAGCTGCTCCTAGGAAACCCTATACAGGGTCACTATAGGTCAGGACCTACTCGACGGAACTACACAACAAGTCCTGGTGTGACGCCATAGGATAAGCACTGGACCTCAAAGTCAGCGGTTCAAACTCACAAGCAGTTCCTAAGAAATCCTATACAGGAGGGTATGAGAAGGGACAGACAGACATTTGGATTTCTGAATGTGTAGTGGGTAAAAAAAACCTGGAATATCAGATTTAAAGTAGGCCATTTTTTTAATTTCCTGTTCTGGGCCTGTTTGCCTAGGAGAGCGCATTCAAATTTATTTCTTCCATATATTTAGGAAATTAAAATAAACTTGTGTATTATGAAGGTAGGAATTCATTACTCCAAAGATCTTGCTGTTTTCTTAAGGATGAAATGCATGTGGGTGAGGTGTGGATGCAGCTAAGGGTTTGTGAGTCTTATTTAATTGAATTTGATCCTTTGAAGTAGCTTGAGCCCCAGTCTTGAGGCTTGGCCTAAGTTTAAGGTCTGCCACTAGCCACCGTGCATGGGGAAGTAGACAGAGTTCTCTCTGGAGGCCCAAGCCCAATCACGGGATGTAGGGACCTTACACTTCCTCTAGTCTCAGCCTGTGAATAAGCTTTTGTGTAACACAGAGCAACCTTCCTGCTTTTCTTAATTGTTTAAATGAGAGAGAAATAGGGCTAGGGTGGGGTATGGAGGATGAAGTAGGACTGTGTATTCCTTTTCAGTTCTTGTCCTGTCTTCAGCTAACTTGCTTGAGGAGAGAGTCTCCGGAAGCTGGGGAAAATGCACCCAGCTGCAAGTCCTTCAGGGCTCCCAGTCCTGGGGCAGAGCTGACAAAGGAGATTCCTGAGAGCGCAACTTCTTATCTCAGAAAATGCTGAGCCTAGAGCTCCTAGCCTTCCCTTTTGCAGATGTGAAGGGCCTGTGAACCTTAGACTCAGACAACTGCTTAATTTGCCCCTCCTCTCCTCCCTCACTCTCTCCGCCCTTTTCAACTTGACTTAAATCCATAAGCATTTTCTGGGCCTTCCCTTTTACTGCAGGCTGAGAGGGGGAGGAGCAGTCGGGCCACAATTGCTCCAGGGGCCAGCGTGCTCCTCTCCCAGACTGCTGCTTCTGCTGCCAAAGGAACCTACGTATATCCCAGGCCTGGGAGTGAGTGTACATCCCACCCTCTTCTCTCATCCTCATTCACCTTGCTCACTCTGCCTCTTTGCAATGTCCATTCACCTTCTCTCCTGACTGACTGCCTTCTGCTCCACTACCTGTCCACTTGCTTGATCATCCTCTCCTGTCTTCCCCTCAGCTGTCTCTTGCCTGAACTGGGCAATGGTTTCCTCTGGCATATGTTGCCCAGCTTCAACTATTTCCTTGCCTTGGTGTTAGAAGGCATCTCCCCAGTAGCAACTCCTGTGTGGGGTGCAGTCATCTGCTAGGTTCACACTTTTTTGAGTGATACAGTTATGCTGATATGGTTTGATGGCAGAAGGCCTGGAATATTAGGGTTGGGAAAGTTACTTGGGAAAAGGGAAAGAGAATTGCCTAGGTTCTTTTAGAGTAGAGTGAGGGGTAGGGCTTTGTGAGGGATGAAGACCCCAGCTGAGGGTGGTTAAGGAATATTCTCTGAACAGGAGGATGGTTGTTGGTTCCAGCAGGCGATGATCTCTGAAGCTTCTAGATTTGCCAGAGCTTAAGAGAAAACAGCAGTGTTGTGAGAACACTCCACAGATAAGCTACTTGCAAGGTTGGTTCCTAACATTGCATTACAGAACATATGACAAGTGAGATATAAGTTGGAGGGAGGATATACTTGTTTTGGGTGAGGCTGAAAACTCAGACTCAAACCACTACAGTTGAACTTGGAAGCTGCCAAACTGTCCTAATTTCCGTCTTGTCCTGTATCATACTGTCTCTCGGGGAAATGGGTGCCTCATTGAAACAAATCAAGTTGGGGTTGTTTTGATGATTGAACAAGAGAAAAATGTTATTGGGAGGGTGGAGGCAAGAGAGAGGTCTCTGAAATGGTGGGTTGGGGTGGATTGCCCTATGAGGAAGGGGTTCTATGTAATTGCCAACTATCCAATATATGTCATGATCTTACTTCCTTAGAGGGCGATGCCAGGGAGCTGGTGAAGGCTTTCCTCTTGTCCACCATGGTTGACACTGTTAAGTATGAAGTGGCCCCCCAGCATGATGGAGATGCCTCCCCTTTGGCTGATGGGGCTAGCCCAGGGTCCCAGCAGGTAAAGCTGAAGAAGGAGATCTCACTGCTCAATGGAGTGTGCCTGATTGTGGGGAACATGATTGGCTCGGGCATCTTTGTCTCTCCCAAAGGTGTGCTCATGCACAGCGCCTCTTTTGGCTTCTCCCTGGTCATCTGGGCTGTTGGGGGCCTTTTCTCCGTCTTTGGGGCCCTTTGTTATGCGGAACTGGGTACCACTATTAAGAAATCTGGGGCCAGCTATGCCTACATCCTCGAAGCCTTCGGGGGATTCCTTGCCTTCATCCGACTTTGGACCTCCCTTCTCATCATCGAGCCCACCAGCCAGGCCATCATTGCCATCACCTTTGCCAACTACATGGTGCAGCCCTTCTTCCCAAGCTGTTTGGCCCCTTATGCTGCCATCCGCCTGCTGGCTGCTGCATGCATCTGTAAGTGGGGCTGGGGTGGGGCCTGGTGGAGAGCCTAGACAGGAATGTGAGCCCATCAGGGAGGTAGAAGAAGATGGAAAGGAGCACTCCAATAGCATCTTTTAAAAATTATCACTATTGAATTAATGTCTGCTTTATGTGAAAATTCAAACAGTATCAAAGTGGAACTTTGTAGAAAGACCTGGTGAGCTACTTAGAAAAAAAATCATTGATAACTATGGAGCACAGCCCAACTCTGACACACACGGGCCTGCAATGAGTTGGAATCCATTTAATGCCACTATAGTATTTTTTTTGTTACCTAAAACAAGAGAAAACAGAAAAAACAAACCAGAAAGCACCTCGCCCTTCCCAATATCCCATGGTAAACACAATTAGCAGTTAGTGTGCCCCTACTGATTTTTATTTATATACCTTTAGTAGATGTAATTTTGTGCTGCCCATTCAAAAAATGGGATCATGCCATACATATAATTCAGCAATTCTTTTTTTTTTTTTTTTTTGCCTCAGCATTTATCAGTAACATTCTTTTCAATTTACAGATCAGCTTTTCTTTTGAATGCTTCATGTTGAAACCCAAAACCAAACCCATTGCCATTAAGTTGATTCGGACTCATAGCAACCCTAGAGAACAGAGTAGAACTGTTCTCTAGAGTTTCCAAGACTGTAAGTCTTTACCAGAGCAGCAGACAGCTTCATCTTTCTTCCATAGAGCAAGAGGCTGGTGCATTTGAACCACTGACCTTTCAGTTAGCAGCCCAGTGGGTTAACCTCTTGTGCCATCAGGGCTCCAAAGCTTCATGTTATTTCATGTTAATTAAGTTCAAGACTGTACCTTTGTTTAGGAACCCTGGGGACAGAGTGGTTAAAGCACTGGGCTGCTAACCAAAAGGTCAGCAGGCAGTTTAAACCCATCAGTGGCTCCTTGGGAGAAGGATGTGACAGTTTGCATCCATAAAGGTTTTAGTCTTGGAAATCCTATGGGGCAGTTCTATTCTACACTATCGGGTCTCTGAGAGTCAGAATCAACTCACCATCAATGGTTTTGGTTTCTGGTACTGACTTTTGTTTAACCAATCCTTTGTTAATGACCCTTTAAGTTCATTTCAGGTTTTCAATCACATATATAATGCTTCACTGAATATCCTTATTGTAGTTACAGGATGATTTCTGAAGACTAGAATTTTTTTTTTAAGACTAGATTTTTAAAATGGTCATTTCAATCCATCTTGACTTTTTCCCCATCTCAAATAATATTATTGAAATCCGTACATTTAGCAAACTTGAGAGGACAATTTACTATGGTCCCATCCCTCAAATGCCTCTGTCCTTGATGAATCCCCTCCCAGCCTGAGAGAAAGGCTAGGATGTTGGAGATCCCACATGTCCCTCCCCTCCCCCCATTTTAATTGTGAAGAAACCCAGAAATTCTATTTGTTTGAGGGGCAGCTGCCCCAGTAGCAGCAGCAGTGGGTGTAAGAATCTTGTATGGGGTGCAATTACTCACTGACTTCCCAATCAGTCTCCTGGCCTTTTCTCTTTCAATTGCTCCATCACTTCATTTGATTCCTTAGTTTCCTCTTCAGCATTGCTGTTTTTAATGATTTTCAGAGAACAGACTGTCCTCTTGTAATTTGTGTGTCCATGTGTATGGCTTGGACTCATCTCTGTGTATGAGGATGTTTGTCACACGTGGCAACAGTCAAAGAAGGGTGGAAAGCAATAGTTTGTATTACAAGAAGAGGGTTTTCCCCTGAGGTCTTAAATGTGATCTGTAATCTCTTTTGCATCATTTACAGATGATCTGGTAGGTTGGCTTACTGGAGAAACTAATTTTAGGATCTGTTGATCTGAGTCCCTACTGGGTATATGTTACTTAGCTTGTATAGAGTAAGAATTATTCTACTTAAGTAAAATTTCCAGACGTCTACAGCTCTTTAAAAAGCACTGGAATTCTATTAGTTTAATTCTCTTTGCTGTAAATTTCTTTAAAACCAATGATATATTTGCTTTAACTTTTTTTGATGACTCAGGATGACTATTGCACATTTCAGTTCTTGTATGACTGTGAGGTCTTTCCAGGCCACTGGGGTAGGAAAGAATGTTTGCTTCCTTATTCAGTGGCCTCAGGCTGCTGGCCTGACTTCATTTCTTCAGGTTTTATTCTTTCATGGTTTCTATCTATGTCATCCCTGACAGCTGTCGTTCTTGATTCTGGCATTGTGCCTACCTCCATCAGTCACCCTTCTAATTTGCGGCTTCTAATTTGGGAATAGAGATGTGCTCAAACCTTTGTACACCCACTTATACATACATACACGCACACCCTTGCAACGATACATGCCAAGTAGTCACAGTTATGAATTAATCTGAAGAAGTTTCCCTGTGAATAAAAGGCATGGATTTTTGTTCATGGGTTTATGACATAGATTTGAAACAACTTTGGTAGAGTGAGAAGTGAACCAAACTTGTTTGAGGCTGGGCTCAATAGCTGTATGACCTTAAGCAAGGTACAACAGTGATTTACTGTAAGGCTACTGTGAGAAAATCATAAATCATGACTCACGCATAAGGTATCAATGATTATGGTTAAAATTCTCTCTCTTGGCTGCCTAGAGGCCTTTTGCTGCTTCTTGGCTTTCTCTCGAGTAGTGATAGCTAGATAGATATATGAGATATTACTGCATAGGTAGTATCTGGACTTTGTTTCATCTTAAATTACGTAAGAGGGACAAGGAGATCTGGGAGAAAGTTCAGAAGGGCAACCAAGACTGAAAATTTAGGAAAATAGGGTTCATGGGTCTGCTCTTTGTGCCATTGTCTAGTGACATGTTCTGTTTAGCCTAAGTGAGGACTTAGATACTATGTGCTAGATATTTTAGAGTCCCTGTATGGTACAAACTGTTGACACATTGAGCTACTAACTGAAAGGTTGGTGGTTCCAGGCCACTCAGAGGCACCCCTGAAGAAAGGCCTGGTGATATACATTTGAAAAATAAGCCCTTGAAAATCCTATGAATCACAGTTTTACTCTGACACATGAATCAGAACTGACTTGACGGGTTTTTTTTTTGGAATGTCCTAGATATTAGAGAGTCCTGGTGTGGCTGTAGGGTAAGCGCTGGATAGCTAGCTACAAGTGGGCAGTTTAAACCTACCAGACACTCCTCAGAAACTCTATACAGGGTTGCTATGAATTGGAATTGACTCGATGACACTTAACAATAACAACAACCAAGATATTTAGTGTTGGGATGAGAAGAAAAGAATGCAGTATGGTCCATGTTATCCAAGAGCTCACAATAGAGGTACTATAAGAGCAGGTGGGACTGCTTTCTTCTTGTGGAGAGGAAGGCTTAGGAAGACTTAACAGAGGAAGTGATGTCTGAACTAAATCTTGAAAACATAGCTGTTTCCTGGGTCATTTCACATGGAGGGAACTGCATGTGCAAAGGTGTGGAGGTACAAGAAGGCACAGACAGTTTAGGGAATTCCAGGTATTGGTATGTATGGAATGTGGAGTGGGGGGATGGGGTGGGGAGGACAGGCAGAAGAAACTGGAAATAGCCCAGGGCTAGTACAGGAGGTGTTAGATGGTACATAAAGATGTTGGATGTTATCTTGAAGGTTAGGGGATGTTACTGATTTTAAGTGGGGAACTGAAATGATCAAATTAGCTTACAAGAACTCTAGTGGTCACATGGAAAGAGTGAGACATAAGGTCTGCAGACTTAAACCTGAGTCTGTGAGAAGAGTGGTGAAGACCTGAAATGTGGGAATGGCCTTTGAATGGGGGAATGGGAAATATGGGACTGGTCTTTGAATGGAGATGAGGGGTCCATGAAGAAATAGTTGAAATGTAGAATTTCTAGGACTTCTGGATATTGGGTGTGTGTAAGCTCTTAGTAGTGATTCTGAGCATTCAAGTGTGGGCAGATGGGGGTCATGGAACTGGCATCTGATATAGGTGACTGAGTGAAGAGGTAGAAGGATATATGGGACGTCTGTTGGGCCGCTCAGGTGGCGCTCCTGTGAGCAATGACCTAGAGTTTGATCATTTCCCCACCAGTTGAGTCACACTTACCTACAAGGCTGATGTGTAAATGATGATGCTGTTATTACTGTTGAGTGATGAGTGTATCTGTGTAGTTTCTAGTGACTTGAATGTGTATGCCCACTCTCAGGACACCCTCTTCCTGGGTAGGTTATCAAACCTACCTAGAGATCAGTAAGTTGCTTCAAGACCCTATTCCATCTGACTTGCCTCAGACTACACTTGCCCTCACTGTCTGCTTCAGCCAAGCCTGCCTTCTTGCTCTTCCCTCAATATAACCCTCATGGTTCCACCTCAGGAATTTTGTATTTGTTGATTCTTTTTTCCAGGAAGGCTGTCCCCTGATATGCCTGCAGAATTTATTCCCTTACTTCATTGACATCTTTGCATTAATATTACAGTTAATAGGTTAACTTTCAGGCCCCTATCCTATTTTGTTTTTCTTGACAGCATTCATTGCCACATGACACATTATTTTTTGTTGTTGTTATTGTTAGGTTCAGATTCATAGCAACCCTGTGTTCCATAGAATGAAACACTTGTCATTCTTATGTTTGAGTCCATTGTTGCAACCATTGTGCCAAATCATCTCATTGAGGGTCTTCCTCTTTTTCACTGACCTTCTACTTTTTCTGCACCAACATCATAAAACAAATGCATTGATTCTTCTCTGTCTTCCTATTCATTGTCCAGCTTTCACAAGCATTTGAAGAGATTGCAAATACCATGCCTTGGTTCAGGTGCACCTTATACCACAAAGTAACATGTTCGCTTTTGACCAGTTTAAAGTGAACTTTTGCAATAGATTTGTCCAATGCAATGTGTCATTTGATTTCTTGACTGCTGCTTCCATAAGCATTAATTGTGGATGCAAGAAGAACAAAATCCTTGACAACTTCAATCTTTTCTCTGTTTATCATAATGTTGTTTAGTGGTCCAGTGGTGA